AGGTCGTGGCTTATGCAAGACCACCCTCATGGCCATCAAGGAGCCGCTGCAGGACCCAGGCATCAAGCTTCCCCACGAGTGCTTGGAATACTGGCTGAAGCAGTGGTTCACCACCCCACGCATTCGAGGCGGCGTTCATCGTGTCTGGCAGTCGGTGGTCAGTCGCCTCCGTTCGGTTCCTGCAGGCCGGCGCTCCAGGCACGTTCGGGGCCCCATGTCTGCGGTGATACTGTACCTGCTGGAGCGGCAATGGGACCCCAAGACGCCCACCTTGTGGGTCATGGCCGACGGCACTGAATGGCGTTTCCCCGAGGAGTGCTACTCGGATATCATGGCGCTCAATGGGTTCAAGCAGTTTTTCGTGGACTTCGACCGCGCCTCCGAGGCTCTCCTCTGGCAGCAGGCGGAGCGGCACTTCGGCGGGAGCGGTCTCGGCGGCGGCACGGAGCTCACCTCCATGCGGCAGCTGCTCCGCCAGCTGGAGCAGGCGCCGAGCGGGCGCCGCTTGGCGGAGCTCCTGGTCTCCGTCGCCGCGGGCGGCAGCTGGCCAAGGCAGCGGCGGGCCGAGGCGGCGCGTCGGGTCACGGTCGACCCGACTTGCGCTCGCTGCAAGCGAGCGCCAGAGACCCTCTTCCACCGCATCTGGGGCTGCGAGGCCAACTGCGGGGAGGAGGCCTACACGCTGTCGGATTTCCTCTACCCACGGGCGCGCGCCCAGCATGAGGCCGAGGAGGCGCTGTGGCTGCGCGGGCTGCTACCAGCTGGGCGCATGCAGGTGCCACCGCCGCCGACGGACGAGAGCTGGTGGGGCTCCCACGATGACGTGCTGTCGGAGGGGTTCGGCCCAGGTTCAGCCGCTCGCCCCATTCTCCTGTTCGGGGACGCCAGCGGGGGAGCCGACTCCTCCAGCCCGCTGTTCAGGCGCGTTGGCGTCGGCTTGGCTCAGTTCGAAGACGAGTCCTCGATGGTCCTCTCGAGCACGCTGTCAGGGATCCTGCCAGGGCCCGAACAGACGGTTCCTCGTGGCGAGTTGTTCACTTTCTTTTGTGCCCTTCGGTGGGCATCTGACTTCCTCATCTACGTTACCGACAACAAAGCTGTTTTCGATGGCTGGCACGCGGCCCGTGACCGCCAGCCTCAGGGTGAGAACAGTGATTTGTGGGCTCAGATCGGCGAGATCATGAAGACTCGCGAGCGGGGCCACGTCGTAGTCCTTTTCACCCACAGTCATATGCAAGCCACAGATATTGTTGCTGGCAAAGCCGAACGATGGCTCGTGCATGGCAACGTTTTCGCGGACGTCCTGGCTTGTTATGGCGCTGACCGCGCCCGTTTGCCCGCCAGCGTCCGCACCCCGATCCTGGTTCTTGAGCAAGAAGTTTTCTGGATCAGAATGCGAATCCTCCGATCATCGCTTGACGCGATGGCCGCCGAGGAAAAGCTTCTGAGTGATGGTTTTCAGGTAGGTAGATTTAGGCGGCGGGGGGGCACGGGCCCCAGTGGCCCCGCGGTCGGCGAGAGCACTGGTGGAGGATCCGCCCTCTCCCCCGACCCTGTGGCCCCCGCCCCCACACCCCCGCCGCCACCGTCTGCTGACACTGTGTCGTTTTTCGAGTCTAGCCACGCCTTGGATGATACAGGCCGCAGGTGCCGTCGGTGCCGTGGGTCCGCGTCAATCTCGCTTGTTAGATCTTGGAGAGGTTCCCAGTGTTTCCGCTTAGTGTCTATCGATGGCTCCCTTAGAGGACTCCCAGCTGGGGCGAGGTTGCACATTGCTGGGGGGTGGACCCACCCCTCCCACATGCTGCGCCTCCACCAGGACCTAGGGGTCTGGTTCTGCGCCACCTGTGGGATGTACGGGGACCAACAATTGTTAGGCCTGGGTAAGTTGTGCCCCAATGTGGTGACCGATACCCGTGCCGTATATCTTTCCCGAATCGAGCGGGGGTTATTCCCCAATGCCTACAGTAAGGCCGAGCTCGAGAGGAAGACTGGGGCCCATAAGGGGCCTTAGTGGCGGTGGTCTGGCCCCGCACCCATCTGGATTTCGTCCTGGCACTCCCGACTCCCGACTCCTCCTCCTCCTCCTCCTCCTCCTCCTCCTCCTCCTCCTCGGGCGCCCAATGATCCTCCTACTGTTTCCACACGTCCTGTTTCCACTCCTCCATGTCCTCCACATCCCCCTCATCAATCACCCATGCCCTCCTGCCTCTCTTCATCATCCCCCTTCTCAATCTCGTCGTCCTGATTTTTCCGCGCCCCCCTCTCCTCGATCATTCCCCTCCTGCTCTCTCTGTTCTCTTCGACCTCTTCATTTTCTGCGTTGAATCACCCGTCTCAGCATGCTCTATGTCATCGTCATTACGACCCTCCTCCCTTTGATACTCCTCCACAGTCTTCTACAGCTCCTTGTCACCATCCCATGTCTACGCATTCCCTTCGTCACATCACCCCATCATCATCCTCCTCATCATCATCATCATCAGCAGCAGCATCATCATCAGCATCATCATCCTCATCATCATCATCATCATCATCATCATCGTCATCGTCATCATCATCAGCAGCAGCAGCATCAGCAGCAACATCATTATCATCATCAGCATCATCATCACCAGCATCATCATCAGCATCATCATCCTTCCTCTCGGCTTCGATTCGTTTCCAGAGGCTGCGGCTTACGCTAGCCCGCCGACTCCCAGAATGAGAAACAGGGGGTGCGATAAGAAACGCAGAGTGGCACCGATGAATCATGGACGTGGTTTGGCCGATTGATTGCCAGCAGGCCGCGCTGTGAGGAGGAGGAGGAGGAGGAGGAGGAGGAGGAGGAGGAGGAGGAGGAGGAGGAGGAGGAGGAGGAGGCCGAGAAGAAGGTCTGGACATGTACTGACCGACCGTCGTATGGCCAGGGGGCCGTCTTGAGAGCTGTTTGGGTCCATGTCTGGGCCGTTTGTTTTTTTTTCTCGGGCTGAGTTGGGGCCCTGTGTGTGTGTGGCAGCTTCCATGCTCCTTGGCGCCCCTTGCAGGTATCGGTACCTGGGGCGGACGTCGGAATCCCGGAGCCAGCTCGGGGGAAGCAGAGAGGAAGCCCCAGAGCGTCGCCGGGCCTGGGCCCTCCTCGAGCCATCCCCGGGGCCACACCGAAGATTTCTCGGTCCGTCTGAGGCAGTCCTGGGTGCCTCCGGGGCCCTGTCGAGGTCACGCGGGGGCGAGCGCGGAATATGCCGTACCCCATCGTATGCCAATGCGCGGAGCTTGGGGGCCACCAGGTGTTATTTGGAGGACTGCCAGAGGAGGGAGGAGGATCGAGGAGGATCGAGGAGGATCGAGGAGGATCGAGGAGGAGGAGGAGGAGGAGGAAAGCTGGAGAGCCGCGGAGAGGCTGGGAGGGCAGGAAAGGCTTCGATGGGCTCGGATGGGGCTCCCCCACCCTCGCCCCGCCCAGGGCGTAGCCTGAGAAAGGGGGGGAGGAGGAGGAGGAGGAGGAGGAGGAGGAGGAGGAGGAGGAGGAGGAGGAGGAGGAGGAGGAGGAGGAGGAGGAGGAGGAGGAGGAGGAGGGTGGAGGAGGTGAGGGTGGAGGGAGGGCAGCGGGAGCAGGAGGACGAGGAGGAGAGGGAGGAGCGACAAGACGAGGAGGAGGAGGAGGAGGAAAGGGAGAGATGCCAGATGTTCCAGCAGCGAGACGCTGGGACATCCGAGTCTGAACTGTCTTTGCTTCGGGCCACGGCGGACTCGCGCCTCCAGCCCCAGGACCCGCTCCCCTCTGAACCCGTGCCCCTCATTGCAAGCTGGTCCAGGAACTCATGCCCAAGGAGGAGAAGGAAGAGGAAGGGTCGAGGGAGGTGTCATGAGTTTTGAGGGGCTCTTGCTGCGTGTCGTGATGATGATGGGTACGTCGCTGGTGAGCGTGGGCTCCATGCGACGTCGGCTGTCAGGGAGTTCGTCAGCGACAGCCGCAGCTTGAGCGGGTTTCTGTTGCGCTGGAGCATTTCCCATAATAGTCCTGTCCTCCTCCTCCTCCTCCTCCTCCTCCTCCTCCTCCTCCTCCCGCTCATCCTTTTCTCCTCCTCCTCCTCCTTCTTCTCGTCTCATCATCATCATCATCATCATCATCATCATCATCATCATCATCATCATCATCATCATCACATCAGCATCAGCATCAGCATCATCATCATCATCATCATCATCATCATCATCATCATCATCATCATCATCATCATCATCATTATCATTATCATTATCATTATCATGCATCAGCATCAGCATCAGCATCAGCATCATCATCATCATCATCACTGCCTCCATCCTCCTTGAACCCTCTATTGCTCCTCCTCCTCATCCTCCTCCTCACCATCAACCTGATCCCTCGCCTCATCCTCCCCCTGCTCCCGCTCCTCCTCCTCCTCCTCTCCTCCTCCTCCTCCTCCTCCTCCTCCTCCTCCTCCTCCTCCTCCTCCTCCTCCTCCTCCTCCTCCTCCTCTCCTCCTCCTTCTCCCCTCCTCCTCCTCCTCCTCGTCTTGTCGCTTCTCCCTCTCCTCCTCGTCCTCCTGCTCCCGCTGCCCCTCCCTCCCCCCTCCCCCCTCCCCTCCTCGGTCGCAAGTGGCCCGCGTTCCGATCGTCAGCCTATCGATGATGCCCATGCACCGGACGTCGAGAACAGCGCGCTACCAGTCTCCCTCCCTTTCGCCTTCTCCCCCTGGTCCTTTCCCCCCTGGTCCCCTCCTCTCCCTCCCTTTCGCCTTCTCCCCCTCATCTACCTCTTTCTCCCCCCCATCCCCATTCGCATGCTCCCCCTCATCCCCATCCGCATCCTCTCACTTCTCCCTCTCCTCTCCCTCTCCTCCCTCTCCCTCCCTGCGCCTCAGTCCTCTCCCTCCTCCGCCTGCACTTCCTTGTCGTCCTTCCTTCGCCACCCCTCAGCCCAGCTTCCAGCCCCGGTGCTCCTCAAAACTTGCTCTTCCACCTCCGCAGCGCGCGCCAACGGCGGGGCAGGGGAGGAGGGCATGTTCCAGCACCCGGCTTGACCAAAACGCGGCAGAGAGAAGGAATGCGAACGAGGGAGAGAGGCAGAGAGCGAGACCGAGAAAGAGAAAGAGAGAGAGAGAGAGAGCCTGCGATAAAGAGAGAGAGAGAGACAACAAACGTATAGAACGAGAGAGAGAGAGAGAGCGAGAGAGAGAGAGAGAGAAACGCAAACAAACCAAAAAAAGAGCGAGAGAGAGAGAGAGAGGGCGAGAGTGGGCTCCGGCCAACAGGAGGTGGGGGGCAGGTTCGAGGCGCTGGGCTCGAGAGGGGTCTTTGCCCTTGTCTGTCTCCGGGTGCCGCTGTCGGGCCCGGGGGCCATGGATCGCAGGTCCGGGGCGAAGGCCTGCACCAGATTCACCAGCCTGGAACATATCCCTATCCCTATGATCGACATCGCCTCATCTCGATGCCGATCTTAGGGATTCCCTCCGTTTCTGAGGGCGCATCCCTAAGATTGTCGTCGACTTTTGGCTTGTGAATCTTAGGGGTAGGGATACGTTCGAGGCTGGTTACAGATGGACCCCTGGGAAGGGTCCAAGGTCAGATCTTACCAGATGTCCTTGCTCCCCCTTCTCTTGACCAAGTTCCTCGGGGATCATCCAGTTCAGACCCTCCAGCCGCCCCCAGCCTTCTCCACACGTTTGCCGGATGGCGCGCTACATGGGTCGCACCACACAGGTTGCACCGCATCGGTTGCACCACAGATATGGCACAACACATATTCTCCTTTTCTAACAAGGAATTCGGATCCCCCCCCCTGGCTTTATCGGTCCACCTTTTCGTATTCGTATTTCAATTTTGCATATGCGTCTGCCCCATCGTTCATCCTAAATATGAATTCTTCGTACCATCCCAGCCCAGCTGTATCGACCCCCTCCCCCCCCCCCGCCATCCTCTGCAACAGATATCATGCGTGCACTCGTTTATCAAAACTCAGCAGTTTCCAGTAACCCCTTGCGAAAAGTTAGACGAAGTGCACACGCGCGCGTCGTCGCGCGCACATGCCGAAATCCTTCAAATAATGTTCGGTGTCGGAAGCATTTCAAACTCGAGTGTCCAACAAACATACAAAACCACATGTTTTCGCCACACGGGTTTTCACGCGCTCTTGTGAATTCTTAAAAACACCATCGGATTTTCAACAGTTTCACGAAATACTACCAAACTAGCTTCGCGCGCATGTCGAAATCGTTCGAACGCCTTTGCGCGCGTGCCGTCGAGATAATCTCTTACAACAAATGGGACGAAGTGCGCCCGCGCATGCCAAAATCCTTCAACAACCTTCGGTTTCGTAACGATTTCAAGATCTAATGCCCCAAACACATTCAAAACACAAGGCTTCGCAACATCAGTTATCAAAACAATCTTGCTCGCGCGCTCGTGGGAATTCTTGATATAACCATCGGGTTCTCAACATCTGCATGGCATTCTGCTCAACGGGCCACTGGGCCCGCACGCCCTTGCGCGCGTGCTGGGGGGCACGATCCGTGTCAAATATAGCCGTGCGGGCCACTCTCGCGCGTCGGCCGCACGCGCATGTCGAACTCTTTCCAAAACCACCATCACCGACGCGAGGACGCCGTCATCGTCGTCGTTGTGATCAGCATCGGCGCCCGTACTGGCCGCGCCTTCGCTGGTGCGAACATCGTCACCAGCATCGCCACTATCATCATCGCGTCGACCGTAGTCGGCGTTGCCATGATACCGCGCCCGCCCAAGTCGCCGATTCGCAGTGAAGTGCCCGCCGGGATGCGCCCAGCGGTCAACGCCACCGCGGCCGCGTCGGTGGCGCCAAACTAGCTGGCCGCTGCACGCGCATGCTAGGGTTGGCGCTGCCGCAGAGATGCACCGCCAATTTTCGCAAGGTTGGTTGCTAGTTTTTTGTTTGTCGTGCCGAAGCGCGCCCTCGCAAAGTAAACGCGCTTTCCGTCCCCATGGCAAGCAGGTCTGATGGCCCGCCCCCCCGCAAGGTGGCTCCAGAGGCGCCAAAGTTCGCCCAAGAAAGGCCCAAGACGGCCGAATAGACTTCCAAGAGGGAGCAAGATGGGCCCAAGACGACCCAAGAGCGCCCCCAGAGACCCCAAGACCGTCCAAGACGGTTCCAAGATGTTTTAAGATGGCATCCAGACGGTCCACGAGGGCCTAGAGACGCCCCAAGTGGCCTCCCAGAGGCTTCTCCACAGAATCCCAAGAGGGACAAATCATTTATATTATTCAAGTTGTTTTACCAGTTTTTCGGGTTCTCGCTTTTTCGGACCAAGAACGGCTCCAGACGGTCCACGAGGCCTCAAAGATCGTCCCAAGACGGCCCCATAGGCTTCCAAAAGAGCCGAAATCGGTCCAAGAGGGCCCAAAGACGGCCGAAGAGGGCTCCACAACAGCCCACGAGGACCCCAAGACAGCCCCAAGAGAGCCCCAAGAGGGTCCAAAGAGGCTCACAAGGGGCCCCCGAGAGAGCCCCAGGGCGACCAAAGGCTTCCAAGACGCCCCAATACGGCCCAAAAGGTCCCCAAGACGGCCCAAGAGGGTCCCAAAACGGTCCACAAGGGCGCCAAAAGGGCCCCCTAACAAAGACCTAAAAAGCCCCAGAGACGCCAAGTAACACTATGGCTCCCAACAGCGAGCGGTGACGTAACAAGCTTTGAACACCAAGGCTCCCCAGAAAGCTCTTTTCAGCAAGGCACCCAAGAGCGAGCGGCAACGTACAATTCTGTGAAAACCAGGGCTCCCAACAGAGAGCGGTGACGTAACAAGCTCTTAACACCAAGGCTCCCAAGAGCGAATGGCGCCATGAGCCATCTCGGGCAAATGCCTGAAGCGCTCTTTCCGTTCCCGTGCCGGCCCAGGTGTCGCGGAAAATTTGTCGGGAGTTTCGTAGAGGCAGTGTTGAGGCCTTTGGAGATCCGTGTTGGGGCGTCTTGGGGACCTCCTGGGGGCTCCGGGGGCCTCTCGGGGGCTTTTTTGAAGCCTCCTGGGGGCATCTTGGGACGGAAGGTTCGGATTGTTGGTGCAGGCTCCCGCTCATGGTGGCCGTCTCGGAGCTCTCTTGGGTCGTCTTGGGGCCCTCTTGGGCCGTCTTGGGGCCCTCTTGGGCCGTCTTGAGGCCTTCTTGGGGCCTTCTTGGGCTGTCTTGGGGTGGTCTTGGGATGTTTTGGAGCATGAGTTTCGCGTCTCGCCTTTTCGGGCTGCCGTCTGCTCTCGACGGCTGCTTCACGATGGCCCAATGGCCATCCAAGATGGCCCCAAGACGGCCCTGGATAACCTCCCGTGGGGTCCAAGACGGCCTTAGAAGGCCCTTCGCCCAGGCACCCACCGTACGGCCAAGAGGACCCCAAGACGGCCCCAAAGAGTCCCGAGCCAGCGTAGGAGGGCCCCAAGACGGCACAAACGGGCCGCAACGCACCCCCAAGATTCCCTCACAGGCGGCCAAGACAGCCCCAAGCAAGCCTAAACGAGTTTGATCATCATCAGCAGCAGCATCATCATCACCATCATCATCACCAGCATCATCATCATCAGCATCATCAGCATCATTATCATCAACAGCATGCTCATACTCATACTCATCATCATCATCATCATCATCATCATCATCATCATCGTCAGCATCAGCATCATCATCATCAGCATCATCATTATCAGTATCAGTATCATCATCATCATCACCATCATCATCATCATCATCATCATCATCAGCATAATCATCATCATCATCATCAGCAGCACCATCATCATCATCAGTATCACCATCATCGCCATCACCATCATCATCCGCATCATCCTCATCCTCCTCATCATCACCACTCATCATCATAAGCATCGTCGTCATCATCCTCATCGTCATCATCATCGTCATCATCGTAATGATATTGCAAAAATCCTACCAGGCAGACCTTGTCATTCTGGCACGCCTCAACGTGCCAGGGGGCAACAGTGGCGGATACATCGAGTTGAACACGGGAGGCGAGCCTTGAGCAGGCTTCAGAAAGGTGAGGTAACAGCTGCCAGGCCTAAGGAGACCGACTAATCACAGAACAGTTGAGGTAAACAGGTGTAGGCCAAAGGCCAGAAACTAAAACAGATAATACTGCGTGTGTACAGTCGAACATTTGATTGATAACCTTCCTCCCGAGTAGCTGGGTCAGCGTTTCTCACCGGCTCGCCAGAGAGCTGGCCCAGATCCTTGAGCACGTGAGCCCCTCCAGCGTTTTACAACAGAACTTGGCCGGGGCTTGTTTGAAGACACTTCTGGGAAGCTGGCCCGCATTCCTTAAATGATACCTTGCTTGATCATAGCGTCGGCTGCATACGGTCGGACCAAGGTATAAGATCGAGGTCGGTTCGGGGAGGGTAACCCGATGTTCTTCGTGTCCGGTGGATGTTCTTGTGCATCCTGCGGGTGGTGCCGTCGGATGCTCTGTGTGTCTGGCCGGCGGAGGCTCTCATGCTCTTGCATAGTCCGACTCTGTTCATCGGGGGTGGACAGAACCCCAACAGTGGCACGTTGATTAGTGAATTGTCCGTTTTCGGTTCTCGAGATGGCGCCGTGGCCGTTATTTTCCAGGCTTGCGCCCACCAGGTTTGGGCCTCAGGTCGTTTTCACTAAACCACGTTTTACTAAAGGGGGGTCTGTCCACCCCCGAGTTCTCACACAAACACACACACACACACACACGCACATGCACACGCACACACACACACACACACACACACACACACACACACACACACACACACACACACACACACACACACACACGCACACGCACACGCACACGCACACGCACACGCACACGCACACGCACACGCACACGCACACGCACACACTCACACCACACACACACACACACACACACACACACACACACACACACACACACACACACACACACACACACACACACACACACGCACACACGCATCCTCGGTGCCACTTTCACCCTGCCCTGTGTGTGTCCGCCTCTCCGCGGCGCGCCGCGGTGCGGCGGCTCGGGAGAGGCGCGGCTCCTGCCCTGCAGGCAGCCTCGGGGTGCGCACATGCCCGTCCAGGCACTTCTGTTACTTCTGGATCCCCAGATCCCAGTCTACTTTGGCGCCTTCCTAATTACTTCAAGAGTCGAGCGGTTTTCCTCTTCCTTCCTCTTCAGGGGAGGCGAGCGGAAGCCCAATCTACTTCCAGCGCCTTCCTACTTCATGTTTCTACCCGCTTCTTCCGACCGACGAGTAATTCTCTTAATTCTCTCAGCGCTGTTTTCTCTTCTACGCGGGGGCGCTCCCCGGCGAGACACCGTCCAGGCCCTTCCTCATGTGGAGAGCACGGGCGAAATCCCGCTGGGCGCTGCCAGCCAGCCTGCAGGGGCCTCCGAGAGCGACACTCAGTGCTGGGAACGTACTGTAGGTTCATGCGGCGTTGGCGCGCCGGCGACGCCGGCGAAGGCGTTCAAGGTTGAATTCTGCGACGTGGCAGCACCGATGGACACGCTAACGCCATTGGACCCGACGGATTTCAACCTTGAAGGATTGGGGCCACGATCGATTCAAGGTTGAACGATCGACGCGGTGTTAAAAACCTTAGCGAGCTCCAACGCCGCACGAACCTACCGTACAGGCTTCCAGGGTTGTCCAGGCAGGCGCGTCCAGGGGCCTTTTGTCGTCCGGTATGCAACCAGAGGCCTCCAGTGGGTCTGCCAATGCTAGCCAAGGGCTCCCAAGGCGGCCTCGATGAGGTCTGGAAAGCCCCCAGCTGAGATCATGGAGGCCGTATGGGCGCACTGGAGGCCCCTCAGCACGTCTGTGTTTGCCGCGATCGCTCACCGGCGGACATTGCAGCAAGTTGCATTCAAAACCTGTCCGAGTCCTTACGCGCAGCCTCCCGTCGCTCGATTGGTGCCACGAGAACTGCCGCTCCGCATGCATGTTGTGGGTCGGTTCAGAAGCGCGGTTGGTTCTAATTGACAATGCTTCTAATCTCCTCTGCGCGTTCATTTCATCACTCGTCACCCCTATCATCATCCAAACAACTGCTTAGAATCATCATGACACCCCCGTGGAACTGTTTTTCGCGGCGGGTAGCCCCGTGCCGAAGGGGGACGAGGTGGAGCTCGTCGCGGAGCCGCCTGTCACAGGCGCGGGCGCGCTGGCCGTGGAATTCGTCGTGGAAGCGCTCGCGCTGGCCGTGGCGCTGTCATGGCCGTGGAGCTCGTCGTGGAGCAGGCCCTCGAGCATGCCCTCGCCGTGGAGTTCGCGGAGCTCTCCCCAGGGCTGCCCGTCGTGGCCAGGGGACTCATCGTGGACGTGGCCGTGGAGCTCGAGTCTGTTGTGAATCTGGCCGCGGGCCTGCCATTCGTGGAGCTGGAGAATGTCGTCGTGGAGCCTGTCATGGAGCTGCAGCTCGTCATGGAGCTGGAGTTTGTCGCCATGGAGCTGGAGCTCGTCGCCGTGGGGCTGCCCGTTATGAAGCTGGGGCTCATCGTGGAGCTAGCCGTGGAGCATGCCATCGGGGAGCTCGCCGTGGCCGTGGTGTTTTCCACGGGGGCGCCCGCCTGTGCTCGTGGAGCTGCTCTTCGGGGCGCCCTTCGTGGTCACGGATGCGGCGCTGCCGTTTTCCAGGACACCGTCAGTGCCGAACGTGCTCCCCGAGCTAGGGGGCCACGTGCGTCGGCATGTCGACCGACAGGCCCGCCTCGCCGCGGCCTCCGCGACAGTGGCCGAGCGGGTCGGCGAGGCGGCCGGTGTTCGAAGCCCCGACGGCAGCACCCGACGCAGTGCCGCCAGCTGGAGAGGCCTGGGGCGGAAGTGGCGAGACACCGCGGGCCTCGCACTGCCCCCTCGGCCACCGCCCCAGGAAAGGGTTCGGATCCAGCAGGGTCAGCGCAGCACCGCTCTTGAACCCTTGCAGCTGAGCATCCGATCGTCGCCATCTTCATCATCACCGGCATCATCATCACCATCAGCATCGTCACAACCATCATCATCAGCAGCAGCAGCATCATCAGCATCGTCACAATCATCAGCATCATCATCATCATCATCATCATCATCAGCATCATCATCGTCATCACCATCATTATGGTTCGCCATCACGATCTCATATCGTACGCCGTGCTCTTCGTCGTCCTTGCGGTCTGGCTCAGATTTCTCCTGCTTCCATCCAGCTGGCCAGCTGGGCCCATCACTGTCACCTTCCCGAAGACCCGGGGAGTCCCACGAAAGTTTCCATGAGCCACCGACGGAGTCGCATCGAGAGGCTTGCTGGCACAGGTCAGGACTTCACCCACGGTGTTGGACTGCGGAGTTTCACCTTCGTATCAGTGCTGGTCGGATCCACAGGTTGCCTCCACTGCCTGGACCTGCGGAGGGGGGTACGCGCAAGCCAATTTGGGCGCCAGTTTTCGCAAGGCAGACACCAAGGCCTTCTTGCCGAGCTTGAGGTGCACGTTGATGCGACCCGAGAGTTATGATGTTCCAACCTACTTTAGCCTTGACCGCGAGAAAGAATTTCGAGCGCACCCGAAAACTCGAGGGTTGTCACGTGTCGGGCCCTGGGAGACACTGTTTCGACACTCTTTCGACACTCCGTCGACACTCTTTCGACACTTTTCTGGGTGCTCGCAATTATTTCTGGGATGTGGTCCTTAAGTACGATGGGAGCAAAATAACCCGAGAGACGATTTCAACCTGTTCGGAATTCCTCGGAAGGTAGAGGGGGAAGAGACGCGCCTCGCCAGATGTTGTGTCTGAGTTGTCGACTCGTTGTGTTCCAAGTAGCGGGAACGTGCAGGATTAATGGAAAGGGTCTATGTAGAATTGCGGGTTGCATTGCATCTTTCAGCCAGGAAGCACCTCCAACACAGGGTACCCCGCGAGGAGAACGTGGAAGGTCCATTGCTCTCTTCTGTTATTTGCTGCCTTTCCTGATGAGGCGGGGGGAGACATGATGGATGATCGCGGAAGAGGAGGGCGAGGGAGGAGGAGAAAGGAGGAAGGAACCAGGCGGCACAAGGTGCACACGCCCATTGACCGCGCAGTGACGGCCGAACCACTAACAAAAGCTGCCCAGTCATCCGCCGTCGTGGATTTCTCACAACGTGGCTCCCCAGAGTTCTGGACCCCTTCCCCCGGACTGGCGTTTCGTCTTGAGTGACTCAAGATGAAACGCCAGTCCGGGGGAAGGGGAATCCCCAAGAACCTTTCGGAATCCGTAGGTACCAATGAAAATCCACAGGAATCGTCATGAACCCATCGGAATCGCAAGGAATCTTAAGGAATCCGCAGGAATCCCGAGGAATCCACAGGACCTCACAGGGGCCTTCAGGAGCCCCAGGCAATCCCCAGGAAGCCATAGAAATGCACAGGAACCTGGAAGAATCGGCAAGTCTCGACAGGGATCCGCAGGAATCTTTAGGTTAGGAATCCATAAGAATTTTTAGGAATGCCAGGGAATTCCGACGAATTCATCGGAATCCCCTGGAATCCATTTGAATCCCTAGGGATCCTTATGATTCTGTGCGAACCCTGACGAATCCTTAGGAACCCCTCGGATTCTTCAACAAACCCATGAGAATCCAAAAGAGAATCCAGAAGAAGACATAATAATCCATACGAATCCATGGGAACCGCTAGCATCTGTTTTGGAAGCCGTAGGAATGTCTGGGCATCCTCAAGTCAGCGCTGCCAGAGACGGAACGTGAGACACACGACTCCGCCTCGTCTCTGTTGCTGTTGCCAGCGAGGCGAGGCCAGAGGGAACGGGCCGAGGGCCCTCGAGCCCTGGCGGCGCCGGGTGCAGGCGCCAGGCGGGGGCGAGGCCCACGCGGCCCGGCCCGGGCACGCGCCACCCAGGCCGCGCGGCGACGGCCAGGCCGCGGAGCGAGAGCTGTGCAGGGCGTCGGACCGCCCGGGCCTGCGCGCGGCCGCGGCGCGCTCGAGGGGCCCTGCGCGTGGCGCGGCGAGCGCCGCCGATGGGCACGCGCGCGGCCGCCGCCGCCCAGGGGTCACCACCCACCAAACCACCCCAACCCAACCCGAAGGCCCAGATTTACCCTCGATTTCCAGTGGGAGGGGGGGGTCGGGGGAAACATCGCAAAAACACATGTGGAACCCTTACCCCCCCCCCCCACCCGAAATTCGGGTCTTCGGGTTGGGTTGGGGTGGTCTGGTAGGTAGTCAAGGGGGGGCGGAGGGCCCGAGCTGTGCGGGAGCCTGCCCGGTCCCGGCTGCGAGCGCCCAGGGTGCCACGGAGCTGGTCCGAGCGCGGTGCGACGCTCCGTTCTCGACCTGCAGGGCGCGCGTGCGCGGTCCGTCGTGCTCGCCTGTCCGTGGCTCGCGCGCTGGCCCTCCCGTGTGGCAGCTTGCCAGCCTGGAACATATCCCTACAGTAGGGGTCTTGAAGAAGGAACCCTTTTCGTTGCGGAGGGGCTCGGTGTTCCTTGATTGTTTCAAAGTTTGCCTCGGGTTTTTCTCAGGTTTTCCATCGGAAATCGAAGTTGAACTTATGGGAAAAGGGGCCTCGTTCCTTATTTTGGGTTCCTTAGGTCAAGGCCCCGACTGTATCCCTATCCCTATGCTGGGCATCTCCTCATCACGGTGCCCAACCTTAGGGGTCCCCTTCCTTTTTGAGGGCGCATCCCTAAGATTGTCATCTCCTTTTGGCGTGTCAATCTTAGGGGTCGGGATAAGTTCGAGGCTGGTAAGCAGCGGACTGCTCGATCTGCCCCGCCTCCTCCTCCTCCTCCTCCTCCTCCTCCTCCGCCTCCTCCTCCTCCTCCTCCTCCTCCTCCTCCTCCTCCTCCCCCTCCTCCTCCTCCTCCTCCTGCCTGTGCTCGTCAGGGAACAACGCTGTGCGAAGCCTCGCGGCCCAGCGGAGCTGCGCCCACGGGGGGGGGACACCGCGGGCCTGCGGTGCCCTCGTGGAGAGCGGCGGCCGCCCCGCGGAGCGCGGGGGGAGGAGTCAGGGGTGAGGAGGCGGACAGG